AACTTAGAAATTTTTCAATTTGAGCTGTGCCATAAGTGTATCAGTTATTAACCAGTAACATATACACAATATTTACACAATTCAACACATCTCACAAGTGTTACCAGTATTCTAGCATCAAAATTATTAAAATAGACCTTGTAGTTAGAGCTCGGGACTCTCTTGAGTATGGCTATGCAATTTTCGAGCAGAGGCCTAAAAATAGGGCTAGGGTCCTATAGGAAAACATGTTTTTTCACGTTTTTTAGACCACCACAGAGGTGGTGAGGGACAAAAAAATCACTTTAAATTAAATGAATCAGCCTCAACTGACACGAGAGTAATGGAGTTTCTCATACAGGATATAGTTTTACTGCCGAGAACAAACCAAAATAAATTGCGGTTGACCTCTAGACCCTGATATGAATGACTGCTCATCTTTCAAGCGGGAGACTGGTAACCATGGAAAAACATCATTAAAAGGGGCTATTGTGCCCCAACAATCCTGTCTTACCTCAAGGGTAGCCCCCCGTGGTAAAAGGATCACATCTGACAGATTTCTTACAATGTTGCCATGCACACACTGATATCTCTGCGATATCCCACAGTGATTACACACATATATAGGCTATATTTTAGTATATAAGGTGTTCCCTTATGTTTCTTGCCTCATGCCGACGGCCCTTAACTCTAATTCCATCCAGAATACCAAGTCAAAATGACATGTATATCATAAGGCATTCTTGCATGAAAGAAGAAGAAGAAGAAACATTCCTTTCCCACAGTGGGGAAATTATTCTCTGCATTTGACCCATCCCTGTATATAGGGAGCAGTGGGCCGCCAATGACAGGCGCCCAGGGAGCAGTTAGGGGTACAATGTCTTGCTCAGGGACACTTCGACACAGGACACGGTGCAGCCGAGGATCGAACCGGTGACCTTTCGGTTGGTAGACAACCCTCTCTACCCAGTAAGCCATGGTCGCCCCCAAAACATTTAACTATGACAGGTCATAGTTAAATGTTATGAGAGTAGGGTAGTATTAAGGAGAATATGAGTGCCCTCCTCTCATACATCGAGCACACACAGCTGCAGATAGTGGAAAGTGTCTACAGCTTCCCAGACACTGCATAGGAGGGACTCTGATCAGTGAATCCGAAAGGTCAAAGGACTCGTGGGTGGGTGGATGCAGCGGAAAACAGTACCAGGTTACAGTTATTGGGCTAGTAAACTGGGAAATAAGGCATTTTTGCCCTTAAGGCACACATTTACAGAGCTTTGTAACATATTATCTTGGCTATTTGTGGGTGACCTCATTCGGTTTTAGGCCAAAGCCCACCAACCCGTTAACTACGTTCAAACATTTACTAGTACGACCACTGGCTGCTGCAGTAAGACATCGGCATTCAGCACACGAGGCGTTTTGTTAACAGAAACAAGGTGAAGTTAGATTGCTAGGCAACGTCTCATTGACTCTGAAGTTTATCAGTTAGCTTCAGGATGTGGGGGCAAAGACACCTCACAGAGACAGTGATAAGTCAACAGCTAAGTCATTTCTTACATCAAGTCTATTCAGCCTCACTTAATCACCATCACTCCATCAAGCACTGTCCATTAGTAGATTTTTAAGATTGCTGTTTTTCAATGAGTGGTACCAGATGGTCTTTGACTGCAGTGGCTTTCTGTCTATCCAAGAATGATTTGGAGTGACTGAAAGCACTGCAATGATACCTTGAGGGTACTCTAACAGGTGATACCCATCAGGCACGTCTTAGTGTTGAACCAGCTTTTGGAGAGCCTATAAAAGCTGACCTTGGGTTGTAAAGATGGCAACAAGATCGGACCTTTTTATTTGCCTTAGGTTGCAAAATAGCAATGTCAGAGCTGCTGTGTATGAAGGCCAGTACACACATCTTGATCTTTTTTTTTTTAGCTTTCTCAAACACAAAATAAGGAGCAGTCAAAAGCTCCTTATGCATTACTGAACACTTGTATCAAACCATTGAAGTGTAAAGCTATGCAGTAAGAGTCACTTTTGTGGCATTTACAAAAAATCGACATGTAAAACCTAAGCCTAAAAGCCCAGCTCCCCTGATGTAGAAAAGTCTTGCACTCCCAACACATAGAAAGAAAAACATTTAAAAAACAAATGCAAATCTATTTGGGCCCAGATGCATCACTTAGTCCTGGAACCAGGGATATCTTGTCCACTCATGTCTGTCAATGAAGCAAGCTGTCAGAAAGATAGTGAGGCTGTAAAAAGACAAAGTCTTGAACTCCCAGTGATATGTAGTGGAAGTGGAGAGCAGCAGCCCAGTAAAAGGAATTAGGGGTTAAAAATGTTCAGAATTGAAGGCTTGCTTACAGAAACAGACTTTCTCTTATTCGATTGTTGGATTGTTAAACTTAAACTACGAGTTTGCTGGAATTAGTAGAACCTCACTGACATTTATATATGATCAATTATATATGTTTGAAAGAGACATTTCAAACAACATATGAGCTGTTCTGGTATTTGACATGTCATATTTAATTAATCAAATTGAATTCACCTGTTAAATTTGTTTTAACTGAGTGAAGCAACTTTCCAGTTGTGATAAATACTTTTGCCTAGCACGGCTGTAAAATGTTGACATCCCACTGAAAACCGTTGATGCAAGCATGACTGCTTACCATGCATAACAACCTAATCTGTCCATTTCTGGAGAGACAAATGCACATCAGGCTGCCTGCAAGTCACTCGCTGTCAAACAAGACATGCAATTCTACGTGCCACAATTATCTACAGTGTTTCATGCACAAGTTGTCTACAGAAGACATGCCTCTGCTTTATGCAATTTTCGGATGCATCGAGGATTAAAAAAACGTGCCTACGGCAGAAAAACAAAAATTTGATTAGTACTAAGAGTAATCATATGTGGAAACAGAAAATAGATAAATTATTTTTTACATCGTGTTTTCTGACATTACTACAATCTGTATTTAGAAAATATGTAGTTGAATTTGAAATGGTGGATTCTTTCAATTCACATTTTATTTTTGTGGCATGCTTAACACTATATGCTGTATGTCTGGTGATGCTATGATTGCATTGCAGAATAGGATAAACAAAACTTACAAAACCATGCAAACTCCCTCTGAGCAAAATATCACCCTTTGAATTAATAACTTACACGAATGACCCATAAATCCACTGTACTGTGTGTGTGTGTGTGTGTGTGTGTGTGTGTGTGTGTGTGTGTGTGT